TGGGAGTGACACATATGGGTAATGGCAACCTGCACTTAACAAATTCCTTTTGCACCAAAATATTAAGGCAGATGATAAACACACCTCCACTCTCGTATAAATACACCTCTTTTTTTAAAATATATATATATATATATATATATATATATATATATATATATAAAAGCTAAAATGTCAAAAAAGTGCTTTTCATAAAAAAGAAAAAAAGAACATTATGAAACTGTACGGTAACATCTATGACAAGACAAAGCACTCAAAAAACAGACGAAAATTTGCTTTAGTTTACAATACAATTCGAAAAGTCTACATAACACCACCACTTGAGGAATGTTTTCCCAAGCATAGCGACAAATACAACACGAAAATTCTACGCTAAAATAAATAGCGAGCATGAAATTTTGCAGTTTTCCTAAGTTAAAATACTAAGGCTAGATGGAACTAGTTTAGTTTTCATTAGTGAAAGTCAATACCCGAACCTAAGATTCTTCAAACTTCTAACATGAAGTGATTCTCCAAGGTGCGTTCATTGACTTCTAGTAGGCCTTGTTTTGTAAACAAAATAGGCACCACTCCAAGCTTGTCACTTTCTCTATCTTTGTTCTCACTGCATCAAAGGAAAGCAAAATTAATGCAAATAGAAATTACGTGGTGGCAAATGAAAATTAATTTACATAAAAGGTGGTTAATTTGATTACCATATGAAGGTTCTGAAATTAGGTACTGTCACGTATCACTGGCTCACTGCGACTTTGATCCTTTCAACTGTGCACTTAATTAAACTGTTAACAGTGGCCACTGAACCCAGAGATAGCTTAGCGGTTGGGGCTGAATCAACCAAGATCTGAAATGCAACTGTCAGTAGAGAACCTCCAGATCCAACATCAAGTATGGGCCCCTCGTTTAGTCCAGGCCCATCAGGAAGAATAGCGAAGCCCGAAGGCAACAGAGCAACATAATCTGGATCCCCTCCACTCAATACTACATTCATAGCAACAATATCCACAGGAGCATAAACTACGTACGAGCCAGTAGAATCAGTTGAACTCTCTTGCAGTATCAGCATATTACTTTGGCTTGAGTTTGCACTCTACACCAGTATTTACCAAAAGACACTGTTAGCTGTCATGAGACATATGTCAAAAAGTACTTCGTTAGCATGCTATATATAGAGGAACTTACATTGACTCGAAGTAAAGAGACACAGTTTCCAGGATCACGACCATTTGCTATGTGTGCCAATTCTTGAACTAGACCCCCGTTGGAAAGAATGTCCCACTGTGAATTCAATTGAATGTATCAGCTTCAAGGCCATGAAACCATTGTACTAATATACAGTATAATAATAATAGCAATAATAACCAATTAATCACTTCCTAACTACTGATTTCTATATTATTGTTTTTGCTCCATACATGATACAGCTTTTGTTTTTGGTCCATACATGATAGAGCTTGTGTTTGCGGTGTTCTAAAGCTGATAATAATAATCTAATTTACACTTGCAAGATGTAATTTTTAGTGACTAAATATTATTTTAATACCAGCTAATATATTATAGTTACCTCATTTCTGGAATTTTCATCACGTAGGAAATCGAAAAGCCTCTTGGGGGGAACTGGGAGCCAGAAAGAAGTGGCAGCACTGAGCACTATGCCGGGGGGTCTACCAGGGTCATCTGCGCTCTTTCTAGTCATGACCCTTACATCATCACATCCAGTTGCGGATAGCGTTGTCCAAGCATGTGCCGTTGAAGCACCAACACCAGTGCAATAGCTAATTACCATTCTCTCCGCCAGCTTCAGCATACTTTTCCTTCCCTCAGGACTCGTTATCACTGTATATTTAAAGGATATTGGAAACAAATTAATTCACACTTTGAGTATATGTAAACAAACCTTATAACATGGCCTTAAAAAAAGTTGACATGTCACATACCACAGAGGTCCCCTGCTGGTATGTTTTTGGCCATAGAACTTGCAAGACGTTCGCATTGTCTGTCTAACGTAGCCACCCAACGTTTAGCTCCAAAGGCAAGGCCAGAATTAACTAGAGGTTTATATATGCTATGCACAGCTCTATCATCCACTTCTACATGTTCAATCCATGTAACCTAAGGAATAATAAAAGAAGACAGTAAGTGATTAACTTATAGTAATTCTGTTTAATTTCTTGGATGTAGCCCCTTGATGAGTAGAAACTTATATAATGAAAATTTCATTGTCACCTTGGAGTATCCATTTGGCAATTCTTGAATTAAACAACCAGAGGGCCTTCTTCGGCTTCTTGAGATTGTGCTGGGACGCAGACTATCCAAGGAAACATCAACCACAGCCCATATCCCATCTGGATGCTGCTTACAGTACCTTACGAAATAGTTCTCACGAGTAGGAACAAGTGGTGAAGGAACTTGGAACTCCGCTGACATCTAAAACAAAAAAACAAAGACACTTGTTACATGAAATGCAGGCTCCTTGATTAGTGTCTTACCAATTCTCTTGAGAAGAAGAAGAAAGAGATATAAAGGAGAAAAATGAGTACCACTTGCAAGGCTCCGTTGTAGTTTCCAGCTACTCCAGTTGAAAGGACTTCAAGGGTCAAAGCTCTCGAGACAATACCGCAAAACACAGTTGACCATTGGTTCTGAAAAACCAGTACCCAACAATGTCATCGTCAAATGTCTCCCGCGACAAACTATGATACATAAGAAATCGTAAGGAGTTTCATTTAATTAACAGAAACACTCACAACATCCATCAGGATATCAATAAGGTTAATGTGATTCATGATGACAACCACGGATTCCCTTGAAGCTTCAGATCTCAGGCCTAAGGGTTTAGGGCCTAAGCCTCTAGTGGGGAAAGTCCTCAAGTATTCATCTTCATTAAGACTCTCAGACTGGTGGTTGTTGGGGACCCATAAAGGGTCTCCTGCCTGAGCCAGTCTTGTCAGTTCCTCCATTGCTGCAACGGCAAGCTCCACAATCATGGGTTTGTCAGCATCAGCAGGAGCTGGGAGTGACCTAAGAAGGTCACTGCCGCCATACATTTCTCCAACATGCATGTGGTTGTTATTCATAGGTGAAAGGTTGGAGTATGAAGATGTCACGGGCTTTCCGACATATTTGGACGCAATTCCTGAAATCCTATCGATCTGAAGTTTTTTTTTTTTTTGTTTTTTTTACACAAAAAAGAAGTTAGTTATTTGATTAAGAAGAAAAAAACAGGAATAATCTTTTACGTACCTCCTCTCTTAACCTAGCATTCTCAATCCTCAAGTGTTGTTCGTCGAAGGACATTTCGCCAAGAGCAGCTGGGCCTCCACAGTTGGGGCATGAAGCATTGGTTAGGGCCTCCTTGTACCTGTTGTTCTCAGCGCGAAGCTTTTCATTCTCGGCCTTCAGAATAGCATTCTCATTTCGTTCATGTTGAGTCTACATGAGAAGAGAAGCATAAATTAAGAAGCATGTCAATGGTACATTAGGTATAGTTTTCAAAGTTAAGTTGAATCTAATATAACTAACTTTTGTCCAACCGAACCAACGCTAAGGTTTACCTTCATCTGGGTGCGCTTGTTTTGGAACCAAAACTTGACTTGCAAAGGCTCTAACCCTAGTTCACGGCTGAGCTCTTTTCTTTGCTTGTCATCTGGGTGAGGACACTGCTTGAAGAAGCTGAAAAAAAAGAAAAAAAAACCAAGTAAGCAAAGATATATGTTATGAATTACGATTGATGGTGAGGAGTTAGTATTACGTACGCTTCCATTTCTTCTATTTGGCGCTGTGTGTGGCGACGGTAACCCTTCTTTTTGGGACGAGGGTTGGGGTCTTGGTCGTCGCCGGAAGGAACGTCCATGGTATCGGTGCCAGATTTGGTCTCGTACTCATCGTCTCTGGCCTTTCCCAAATCACTCTCGGAGCAAGTAGTCATGAGATTGTGAGGGTGATGGGAATCAAACAAGCTTGTGTGAAACATTGACTTTAATCCTTGAGTTCTCCAATCTGCCAGAGTAGGAAATCAAAAACATTAAACACGCGCGTGTGCGAAGCTAAAATGTGGGAGACCAAGAGCAAGTATAGTTTCTGTAGCCAGACAGCGTGTGCCCTTAAGAATATATTTTCGAGGAGAAAGGTTGACAATACCGTCTTTATAACATTTTTTCTTAATGGGTCCCATTGGTTAACACCACCTACTGAATTCACACCTTTAACAAATTCTTATAAACACTACAAGTAATTTGCGGTACAGTAACACACCCTATAATAACATTATATCACTAAAAATTACTTATACCCACCCAATAACTATAATATATATTAGTATATTATTAAAAAATGTAGATATAAGCTATAATGACACATAAAATATATTGTTAAATCTCATTTAAAATCAACACTAAAATTATGTGTAACTATATGTCAAATAGACATATACCTATATATATTGTACTTATAATGACACTTTTTGTATATCATTATATGTAACATTTTTTGTAGTGAAAATATAAATTATATCATAAATTTAATCATATTATTACTTAAATTAATTATATAAAATTATATAATTATAGAATTATATTTGATAAATCATCTTATAAATTTATTTTAATAAATAAAATAATATTTAAAATATACATATAAATATCTATTATCAAATAATATTTAAAAAATTCTAAATCATTTGAAATTTGTTATGAATGTAATATAATTAAATTAAATTAAATTAATAATTAAATCTATAAAAATTTCTTAAAGATTTAATTTTACTAATTTGACACCAAAGTGTTAATGAATGGTAACCATTTTTAAACGTCTTCATTATTAATTAAAATCTATTAAAATTATAAGATTTGTAAAATCTTATTTTTATTTAATAAGTTTTATTTATAATTTCATATTTTTATTATTTATCCATGCATTATTTTCCATAATAAATGTAAATTAAATTAAAATTTTAATATATATTAAATGTTTATTTTACACATATATTTAATGTTTACACCTACATAAGATAAGTATTTAATGCTTTTATACTATTTTTTTTGTACAAATATATATTAAATGTTTTCACCTACGTAAGGTAAATATTTAATATTCTTATGCTTTTAATATATAATATTAAATGTGCAGTTAATGAATTTTTATTCCCCATGCATATTTTAAGGAAAGAAAGTTAATAGTAAAACATTAAAAATATTTAACTTTAAGTACTCTTTTGATCTTTACAATTTTATTAATTTTATTTCAATCTCTATAATAAACAAAAATATTTATTTTAGTTCTTATACATATATTTTTGTTTTCTTTTAATTCTTATAACTAATTTTACCTTTACACCCATATAGAAATGGACTGCATGACTAAAAGAAAACAAACTAAAATAGAACATTTTTAATTATAAGGACTAAAATGTAAAGTTTATAAAATTATATAGACTAAAAAATAAATAAAACATCATGGCATAAAATATAAGGCATATTGGATTAAAAAAAAAAGTATTTAATGCCTTATTGCTAATATGTAATTAGACTAATACTTGAAACTTAAAATATTTGATGCCTTATTTAAAAAATGATTAATAAGGCATATTTAATAATATTTAAGTAATTTTCATGTACACATATTAGAAAAAATAACATTACATAAAAAATATACGAAATGATCTTTGATATCGTAACATACCTCCCATTTCTACTATTACTAGATACAGACTATGAACAAATTAAAAAAAGAAATTTAGTGTAACTTTTAAAATATTTAATAATTTTTTATATATAATAATTAGTGTTGGAAAGATTATCCGTGCATCTTTTTCTCAAAATTAATTATTAATATTATACTTATTATACATACATTAGCTATTTTTATATTTTTACTAACTAATCAAAAAAAATTATATACAATAATATATAAAATTATTATTAAAACATAATTTTTGTGCGAATTTAAATGAGATTCAATAATATATATTTATGTCACTATAAAATATATTTATATTTTAAATAATATATTAATATATATTATAATTAAATAAAATAGTTTTTAATAAAGGTATTTTTAGTGAATTTAGGCAAAAATGTATTAATTAATTGTCAAAGATGGAATGGAAAAAAATAATTAATTATTCATTTGTATAATAAAAAAAACATTTTTAAATGAAAGAATAATAAAAGTTGCTAAGACGTCAATCACAATGGTAAAATAGATTTGGATAAAAAGTCAATGCACGTGGAAAGAAGAAGGTAAAAGAGGAGTAGAGAAAATGTTTTCCTTTTGAATAAAAGACACTTGTTAGCATTTATTTTTTATGTATTAAAAAATACAGAATTTATTTACGTTTACTTTTTTAGGTTGCTTATACATTTTAAAATATTAAATATATTTATTTTTTTCTATTTAATGCTTTCTTTATAGAATATTAGGGGCTTTGGACGTATTTAATTGAAATTTCTGCAGCATTGATTCGAAAACACAATTTCTATGTTTGAATTGTAAAAGTATGGTGAACGTAGAAATGTAATTCTGATTTCATTCTGACACATTTAATTAAGTATACTTCAAATTTAAGTAAAAGAAAATGGTGGGAATAGTAACAACTAGGGTAAAGGCAGGAGCAATAAAAGTTTTTTTTTTTTTGGGGGGGGGGGGGGGGGGGAAAAAAAACC